TACTTTGTTCTTGGTATAGTTTTGTTTTGCTTGTCATTCATCTAACTTGTAAACCCTTAAACATTACTAATGTATAAATCCATTTTCATCAACTTAGTTTGATTACATCGTTATGTTTAAGGATATTGTTGTCCAAAGGTTTTTTTTTTTGCTCACAAGTTCTTCTACCCTAATTAAAAAAAAATACAAACATCAACAATTCTTAATGTGGGTTTAATGATTCACAGTTTTTCTCATTCGTTTACAAAATGGTATACTTTTTGGTGCATGCATAAATCAACCCCACCAGATTATAAAATATTTATTCACTAAATTAATTATTTTGTTATTTTTTTTACATGTATGTATTTTTAAAAGCTTTTATAATGAAATATTATTAATTTCTATCTTTTTTTAATCTTTTTTATCTTTTCAAAATGAAACTAGATATAAGATTTAAAATACTATTTTTGGATATCCATAACATTAAATATCCGAAAGATTACAACTTGAATCAAACAAAAATAGATTATTTTTCGGAGCTGACCGGATCACAAATATATTTTAAATTCTGGATATCCATTCGTGCCCGCCCTTATATATTGGGATTGCTTTGCCTCTTAGAGATTGATTGGCAGAGCAACGGAATAAGCATTATGTTTTTTATTATCCAATCAACATTTACAACAAAATCTTTTGTAAAAGCATTTACAAGATGCTATTGTTCTCCAAATATTCTTTGATCAATGCTCTCATATGGACTTTTAGATTAGCAATATAATATAATTTATATAATTACACATATCATTCATTCATTATTTAATAAAAACATAGCATAATATATGTTTATATATTATAGATATAAACATATTTATATTATTTAGACACTAATAAATAAATTATATATCATATACTAATTTTTATGATAACTTTATGTATGAATAGTTTATTTCTACCAATAAATAAATAATGATAATTTATATATAAATTATATAATTAATTTAATTTTATTTAATAATATTAAATTTATTTTTATATTCAAAAAATAAACTTTATATTTTTAAAATAAATTTTATATGTATTAAATAGTAATATTTCACGTATAAAATATAGTATAATTTATATAACTGAGTCAGATTAATTATTATTATTAACAAATAGATTATTAATATATATTATTCTAAAATAAATTTATTATATACTAACTTTTATGTAGTTTTAAAATTGTATACTACTATTGTTTTACCAATCACTGTTAAAATTTTTATTGATAATATACTGCTTCTATAGCATATTACTTATATATCTCAAATACAATGATGCGTCTACATAAACATGAATAAATATTTTCACAAGTTAGTTAGTCTTGTTGGATTTAAACCTGCAAAAATCCAACATGAATCACTAACTTGTGTTCCCCCCCCCCCCTAGACACCCATGTCGGTCCTTGCAACTTGATGAATCTGTAAAAAAACATAAGATCTTTGTTACAACAATTCAAAAAACAAAATACAGTATAAAACCACCATCACATATGCTTACATCCAATCTAAGTACAATCTTACAATAACACAAAGAATGATTTCTCCTCAGACTGACCCTATACTGTTAATCGAATAATCGAAAGAAACCTCGAACGATGCTGTTTTCGGGACGGAATCACTGATGTTTATCCAAGACCTTGACCTCAGCTACTTATTTGATGATCCTATCGATGCAGTAGATAGTTATGTTTGGAGAAGAACAACCTTCAAGTCCACTATATCAAGGGAATGAAATAATATTTCCACAACAACAACATCACAATCAAAGGATTGGATCACCTCCGACGTTGCCTCTGGCGATCATTAGTATGCGATATAGGTATGTACCGTTGTCACACGTTCTACTGTTTACCTATATGGCATACTAATGATCACCAGAGGCAACGGCAGAGGTGATCCAATCCTTTGGTTGTGTTGTTGTTGTGGAAATACTCTTTCATTCCCTTGATATAGTGGGCATGAGGGTTAATCTTCTCCAAACATAATTCCATTAGGTCTGATAGGAGGTAAGAGTTAATCTGCATATTGAGTTATATTCGCTTTAGCTACCATGCTCCCGGATTCGTGTCTAGCATTTTTATCATGGACTATAACCCCAACACAATGGCGAGACTAGACATCGACATTATCATCACAGACCTTGAGGGAGAAAACGAAAAGTGTACTATATGCTTGGAAAACTTCTCCCACAGAAACATCATATGCTCTCTTATTTGTGAGCATAACTTCCATTTTTAATACATCAATCAACGGCTACGTACAACCATAAGCTGTCTGGTATGTAGGGAGACTAATCTATGATTTCAATCTTAGTTATCATCTCCCAATCATTATTCCTAGTGTGAAATCATAAAGTCAAAATCTTGGGCTACATGGACAATTAAAAGTTGCGAACCATCAGTTTTAACAATACAAAATAATATTTCCTCTGTTTCATTATAAGTGTCAATTTAGAGTTGTGTACACGGATTAAGAAAACAATTAATTTTACATATTTCATATATAAAAACATAATTACCTATACACCTAACAACATTTTAACCAATAGAAAAACAAATTACATAATAAAATTAATAAAGTTTGCATTGAAAACCGAAAATAACACTTATTTTGTAACAGAAAAAATTCTCTACAATGACACTTAATATGAAATGGAGGGAATACAAGTTTGACAAAATTAATAATGAGACTCAAACACTCAAATTATAGTGATTTAATTGTGAAAAATGGGAAAAGGGATTTATTAAAAAATTTGAGTTATTAAATAATATTGTACTAGGTGTTTTGCCCGCATTTGCGGGCATTATCCTCTTATGAATATTTATTAGTTAATATTTCATTAATTTAAAAATCAGCATAATAAGTTGTTTTTTATGTTTTCAAAAAGTAAAAATCAAACATCAAATAATTATCAATAACAAAACTCAAACATCAAATAATTATCAATAACAAAACTCAAACATCATAAATATTTTAAAAAATATATTTCTATAACTATTTTCTTGATTTATATTTAATTATAATATTTATATCTTAATTTTAAATTTTATATTAGAAAAACATATTCTCAAGATAACAATATAATGCATAAGTTATTTATTTTCTAAAAATATAATATGAGAATTTTTTAACTATATAATAATTATATAAGATTATAAAAATTATGACAAATAATTAAAATTACCTAAAATTATTGAGAACTTAATGAATCAGCAAATTCACATATTAAATATTTTTTCTTGAGTGATGATTTATATTTAATTAATAATATATAATTTTCTATTTTACTTTTAAATTGTATAATATAAAAATATATTTTCAGGATAACAACATAATACATAAGAATTACCATGTTTTCTAAAAGTATAATATTATTAGTGTAAATTTATTTCAATTATAGAATAACTACGACTTTTTAAATTTCTAATAGAAAAATATATATTCAAGACAACAACTTAATACATAAGCAATATCTTATTTTCTAAGAATCTGATACTATTAATATAAAATTTGTTTCAAATATATAATAAATTATATATAAAATTATATAAATTGATAAATTATTAAAATTACCTAAAATCATGGAAAATATGACAAATCAGCAAACATCAAATTCACTTCTTAAATAATATTATAGATTTTTTACATGTTAATTATAAATTTTATAATTAGAAAAATATTTTTTCAAGATAACAACATAATACATAAGAATTAAATTATTTTCTAAAATATCATATTATTAATATAAATTAGTTTTAATTATATAATCTATAATAAAAAAATATAGAAATTCTGATAAATGATCAAAATTAGTTAGGATCATGGAGACAAATCAACAAATTCACTTTTCAAATAATTTTTTGATGATTTATATTTAATTAGGATTTTAATATAATTTTTATATCTTAATTTTAAGTTTTATAATAGGAAAATATATTTTCAACATAACAACATAATCCATAATGATTATCTTATTTTAGAAAAATATTAAATTATTAATATAAATTTGTTTTAGTTATATTTAAATATTAAATTATTAATATATTTTTTTTAGATAAATATAATAGTGTTTATATCTTAATTTGAAATTTAAGTTTATATATAAAAATATATTTCAAGATAACAACATAATTCACAAGAATTATCTTATTTACTAAAAATATGATATATTCATATAAATTCGTTTTATTTACAAATAAAAAATATAAAAATATTAAAAATATGATAAATAAACAAAATTACCTAAACTTATGGAGAACATGACAACTAAGCAAATTTACTAAAAATATTAAATTATTAATATAAATTTGTTTTTAGTTATATTTAAACATTAAATTATTAATATAAATTTGTTTTAGATAAATATAATAGTGTTTATATCTTAATTTGAAATTTAAGTTTTATATATAAAAATATATTTCAAGATAACAACATAAATCACAAGAATTATCTTATTTACTAAAAATATGATATATTCATATAAATTCGTTTTATTTATAAATAAAATATNAAATTTGTTTTAGATAAATATAATAGTGTTTATATCTTAATTTGAAATTTAAGTTTTATATATAAAAATATATTTCAAGATAACAACATAAATCACAAGAATTATCTTATTTACTAAAAATATGATATATTCATATAAATTCGTTTTATTTATAAATAAAATATATAAAAATATTCAAAATATGATAAATAAACAAAATTACCTAAACTTATGGAGAACATGACAACTAAGCAAATTTACTTCTTAAATAATAGTATAGATTATGTGGCAATGCAGTTTATTGTATAATATTGTTTTTCTTACATATATGTATTTTATAAGCTTTTGTAATGGTCATTCAAGAAAAAGTTGTCATAAAAAAAAAGCTTTTGTAATGAAATATTAATAATTTATATTAGATTTTTATCTTTATTATATTGACATATCAAATCAGATATTAAAATACTAATCTTTCGAATACCCAGAACACTAAATATCCAAAAAATTACAACTTGAATTGAATAAAAAAAAGTTGATTATTTGTGCGGAGATAACCAGATCACGGGAATCATTTAAATTCTGGATATCCAATCCATACTCTCCGCACTTACATATTGAGATTATTTTTCCCTCTTATCTGGCCAAACAATAGTAAACACAGCAATTTTCCTTCTCCAAGTTGGAGCTATACACAAACAAGTATTACGTATTACTATATAATTTCAACAATTTCAAATACAATGATGCATCTACATAAACATGAATAAATCTCTTCACAAGTTAATGAGTCTTGTTGAATTGAAGCCTGCAAAAATCCACCATGACCCACTAACTTGTGTCCCCTCCTTAGACACCCCTGTCGGTCCATTCAACTTGATGAATTTGTCAGACCAGCGAATCTTCCGAGATAATAGTGAGCAGAGAGTACTTGGCTTTGATTGAGATCTTGCCTGCCTCTAAACAAAGCTTAGCACCAGTCACAACCCAATATCCTGGTGGTACTTCCGGACCTCTCACCACCTCCTTCGTGTCTACAAGACCCAACAGCTTTGGTTTCACCGGCGAAGATGGCCCTTTAGGATAAACCGCCGAGTTTATATCGATCTTAGACACTGGCTTTGCTGCTGCCGCGGTTGGACTTAATCCACCAGTGAGTCTTGTACTAATCATCGAGAAAACACCAGATTTGCGTGAGCTGGACGAGAGATTATCCCAGCAAGAAGTACGTGTAATAGCTGAAGCAACTTGTGAGAAACCGAGCCTCAGAAACAGAACTTTCCTCATTCCAATACCTTTGACTTCTAACCAGGCTTTGGTTACAATAGAGGCTGCTTCTTCAGGCCGTGGTCCGTTGTACTGAACCGGGAAGGTGCACACATGTGAGAAGATTCCCCATTTCACAGCTTCATAATATCCTCTTTCTGATGGTTCATCTATAGGTTCGTACGTGTCATCGTGTGAGAGGTGGAGACTTGGAGGACATGAAGAGAGGTGCTGTAAGTGGACAGCTAGATGATCTCCTTTCTTCCCCTCCATGAATAGACGTACTCCCATTACTGGTCGCTCACCAGAAACAACCTATAAAACAGTTTTTTCAGATTTTTAAACTAAGTTAAATGCTATACGTATATACAACAATGTGAAGAACAACACATGTACATAACATACCTTTGTTGTGCTGACATATAGTTTTGGACCCAACAAAGAGAACTGAAGTGACGGTGAACTTTGACTGCGACGTAGTCCAAGAGGGAGATCTCCATACACCGGAGCCCATTGGCGTGGAAGTTGAAACTCAAGAAACTGATGCAACTCTTCCATCGGTGGCTTATCTATAACATTTTATTCTTACCTGAATAAGCTATTGAATAACTAATATACAAAAGCCAAAAAAAAAACAGCAAATTCTCACATCTAAGGTATAAGTTCATTGCATGACTAAGAAATCCTGTTCCTGGGAGACCATTCAAGAGTGAAGTTATGGGAACAAAGCACATAGATATGGCGTTTGGTGATTCTGATATCGTTGAGAGCCAACGATCATGACTTTGTGCCCTATCAATACCTCCTCTTCTTACACAAATGCTCACCATATCCTGGAGACGCAAAGTACACGCACTTTTAAGTCCAAACCCAAGTGAAATCACTGCCTTAGTGGTGAAAAGAATCTGACCTCGTTCTTGGAGTGCATGATAACTGGACGACTAAGAGAGGAACCAAACTGTGAATGCAACCCCAGCTCGATAGGACTCCCCTCCTACAGACCCATCAAAACATTTAAGGTTTTGCATTGCGGGGATGCAAACAAGAGCGACAACTTTTTAGCACTGTTTACCTTTGGGTTAGAGACACTTTCAGCTGAAAACCTTTTGTGAGACAACTGCTTCAACTGTTTCCGGACTTCATCAGGATCATGAGTCGAGTTACGCAGCTGCTTCAGGTAAATAACATCTTTGCCTCCCATAGTGACTCCAGCAACTATATGAGTACCATACTTCTCAATGAACCTGAAATAAAGAAACATCAATTTTGATTCTAGAAATGATTTAAATCTCTGTCAATCAATCAAAGGCCACTAAAGATATGGTATTCTTTTTAGTGTTAGAAAAAATATTTTTAGTGGAATAAAAATGATATTAAAGGAAAAAAGATATAAAATTTTAAAGATAGTATAAATACGGGTCTAACAAATTGCAAAATTTATTACCTATACGAACTTCTATGCTATGATGGTGACAAAAAAATAAAGGAAAAAGAACAATGTATTCTTTAATATTTTTTAACTTTTTACCTTTTATAAAGAATTAAGTGTTTTCTGCACCATATACAGAAATAAAAGTTTTAAAAATAAAATTATATTTTAAAATAAAATATGTTAAATCAGATTCTATACAATTAAGAGAAAATTTTGTTATGTATATAATTATAAAGATATAAAATCAAATAATTTTTCTAAAATTTACAGATGTTATAAATAAAACTAACAATATTAGGATTAGAAAATTATAATCTTTTTAAAAACCCGCATAAACTTTTGAAAAAAAATAGTAATAAAAATTATATAATTATAAAAATTAAACTTGAAAAATATTCCAAAATTTGTAAATATTGTTATATTTTTATTTCTACTATTATATTATTTATTGTTATGTTAATGATAATTTATGAGTTATTACCATATTCTAAAAACCTATCAAAATATATATTAATATTAAATGTAAAATATACATGTCACAGTTAATTTTAAGCCATGTCAAAAATTGATTGTGGTAATGACACATGTCAAAATCACTTCACAAATGATATATAAAGAGATAATTTTCCTTTCCTTTCCATCTCATTCTTCTTATTGTAAAGCAAATATAAAACAATATTATTTTCACTAAATTTGATAAAGAGTAATCATTCTTATAAATTTATTCACATTTCTTCTCTTCCTATTCATTCCGATTGTTCTTTTATAGTTACCATTTAAACTCTGAACCTCTGCGTTTTACTCTCTCAACATTCTTTGTTTTATTCTGTTCTAAGTTAATTTGAGTTTGTTGACAACAATTAAAAAAAAAAACCAATTATCTTTATCCAATTGCTTCGGTTATTTCTGGTTTAAGGCCATCATACATACCCAGCAAGTGCAGCAGAGTCCCAAGAAGAAGGAACCTCACGCTTCACTTCATCACGCAGTGTCAACTGCGACCTAACGAGCGCTACAGTGTACAAGCTCATAAACCATCCATCATAAGCAAGCGTCTTAACAGAGCTCGCATCTTTTTGCCACCCTTGTCTTAACTCGAACATGGCATTAAACATCCCCGATGGTATCTTTCCCAACAGAGACATATCTTGATTGAATTTCTCCGACATCTACACACCCGACAAAAAAAAAAAAACAATTATAATCAAAATTTATTATGTTTTTTAATACGTGGAAAACTCTAAAACTACATTATTTTCAAAAGTATTACTTCGATAACTTGTGAAAGAAGGAAACCTGGTTAAAAGAGAGTAAATCGGAGCGGAGACGAGTGCGTTCGCCTTTATCGCACTTAATGGAGCTGGAGACGTTGTTGACGACGATTCCTCCGGGGAAGACAAGCTCTCTGTTCTGTGTCGGGTCAATTTTGAGAAGAGTGGATCCGTCGGGTGTGCATTTACAAGCGGAGAGACGGATATCGGAGGTGAGATCGTAGCCTAATCCGATCACCGATACTGCTTTCTCGGCGGCAGATTGGGCGTTGAGGCGAGAGATATTAGAAGTCATCGATTGTATTGTAGAGGAGATAGAGAGAGAGAGAGAGGAACCAAGAAGGGAAGAGGAAGAAATTTCAAAAGATTGTGGCGAGTGTTGAAGAAGAAGAAGAAGAGGAGGAGCGAAGAGACATACAGTGGTCAACGCTTAGCGAAAGGAAGATTTAGTTAACACGCCTTTACTTTGACTTATGGTTCAGTTTTTAAATGTGAAATCGGCATAATTTTCAGAGAATGTTTCCTCTGATTTTTCCTACTAGGTTCATAGCTCCGCGCAAGCGCGGAGCCGGAGATAGTGATGATGCGTTATGATGTTTTATAGATAGGATTTTGTCATTTTTTGGACATTTTTTTGTTTGGGGTTTAACCGAGAACCCGACTGAATTTAGTTGGTATATGAATGAGTGAAAATTCATATGCTTTGAAATATTCATATATTATTTTAGTAATGATTTTCTCGAATATTTGAGTTATTAGTGCTTTTATGTCTAGGATGGGTGATTTATTATGTTGTTATTGTCTAATTTGTAGGTTAGTAGTATATTATTGTTAAATAGTGAATTAGCATTTAAAAAAAATTAAGATTTTATTAAATTATACAAAGAAATATAGTTTAATGGATTGAAGGGAAAAAGATGAAACATGTTTGTTAAGGGGTTGTGTGGAATGTTTAGAGATCAATATTTATTAGTGAGTAAAGACCTGTTTTTATTTACAAATAAGAGTGTTTGACGAATTTATATGTGTTCGTATTTCTACATTTTTTTACGATTTAATTGGATCTTAATAACTTAATAACCATATGTAACCAAATATAGGTATTTGTTACTATACAACTATAATATGGGAACGAAGAATAAATAATTTTGTTATTCGAAAAGAAATATAGTTTGTTGTTTTCAATGTGTCATGACATGTTTTGAAAATATATAACTGTAGTTTAATAAATGCTAAGGCTTCGTATAATTATATACATGTATGACTAAGATAGTTATTTTTTTATATTTGTCAAAAATATTTTGTGGTAGTTTAAAAATGGGAATGGTAGATTAAAAAGTTTAGTCATATAGGATTATATTCAAACACAATGAAAATGTAGTAGCTGGGTTTTAAATGATTGGACTTGAAATTTGATGAGTCTTGAGTCTCAGTTTAGATCTGAAACTTGATTGTTTACTCGCCCTTTTTGTTTCTCCTCGTCATCTTCAGTAGTGTGACAAGCTCTTGTGATTCTTGGTCTGATTGTGTCTTTAGTGTGTCATTTTGTGAAATTATGGTTTTTCTATAGCAACATGGAAGAGAGATTAGCTCACCTTAGTTAAGGCTGTCTCCATCGCATTCCTTACTCAGTGAACCTCTATTGATTCGGTGTTCTCGGAACCTGCAATAAGAAGGTTTGAATTTGTTTTATGACTTTATTTCTATTATTATTAGTTTCGTTTACTAAAACCCATACTGAATTATTTGAGGTTCTATATGTTAATTTTGTTGGTATGGCTTATGTTTACTTTAACATGACAGAGAGACTTGAAGGCTGCATGACGGATGCCGGTGACGCTAGTTTTAGGAACTGGAGAAGGAGAGAGAGACATTTTCTAGAAGATGGTTAAAGTTAAGAGGAATAGATAAGTTTTGTGGAGATGCACATAGGGTTCATCAAAGATGAGAATCATATATATATGATTTACAGAGGGGCTACAAATCAGGAACATTTATGATCAAGCGATGTAAGATGGGGAGATGAAAAGTTTACCGGTGAAAAAAATAGACTACGAACAGACACACGACGCAGCTCTATAACTCGGACCTGTATGAGACGATGGTGAAAGGAATCTTAACTCATTTTAAACATTAACGGTTTACAATATGGGAAAACTGTAACTGTTGTAAACTTGAGAATTTTCTTCATATAATATGATGAAGCCCAATTAAAAATGAAACTCATAATACACTTCCAGGCCCGAACTTTAAAGGAGGCCATAGATGCAAAGGCTTCCGGCTAAATATATATTAGTTTCGGCCATCAATGTACAAGTTATCTTGTAGTTTAGTGGTATGAATGTTAGTGTTTGTTTCTTAATAACCCAGGTTCGAATCATATGTTTGACATTTTTTCACATTTTTAAAGTGGGACCCACCTAATGCTGATGTGGCACGTTGAGGAGTCTTGAAACTCAACTATTATAATATAGATTATTTATTTTTTAAGGTTAGATGATAATTGACTAACACAATTCTGATGCTTGGTAGGCCAAAAAAGTTTTGCTATATAAATTAGTCTGTAATTTTTTTTTGATGTATTTGTATTTGACGTAGTTAAAACAAATATTTGTACATCAATATACTATATAATATGCTTTAGAAAATGTTTTTTTAACATTATAATAAGGCTTTTACTGTCATTTTCTATTGTCTGATATAATTTTAAAAATAAATAAAACATAACTAATAGTTTTTGTATTTGTAGATAAAAATTAAAGCTAAAAATACTAGGTACATTTCAGTCAATCACCCCCAATATAAGATAAATCAGCAGATATGTATATATATATATATATATTTGTTTTAAAATCAGATTTTAAGAATTCTTCATATTAATTAATTAAATTTATTTATTAAATAGAGAAATTAAATATTGGGTATTAACAAAGAATATTATAAATTTCTTACATTTTAATATGCATAAAATGGTATTTATAATGGAATGAAAAGACTATAATTTAATATAGAACAGACATAAAAAAAGAACATCACAAATAATAATTTTAGCACGTATAGATCCTGCAGTCCTTGCGAAATGAAATGTGTATGGTGTGCACGACCAAAAGCGTGAATGAAAGGCCGCTTATTCTTTAAGAATGCTAAACTATGAGCCTAGGCATGCTCCTAGCTGCCGGAAACATTTTATAATAAATAAGTCAAATGTAATATGTGGTGACATGACACTTTGTCAATTTCTTTGGAAGACTTTTCTCATAGTGCAATGCTGTGAGGGAGAGGCGTTACATCTATGATTTAATGCTTTATTTTTGTGTAAGATTTTGCCACAAGTCCATTGGGATTTTGCCATATCCCCTTTTCATTAATCTGAGAATATCTCAAACATATGGAAAAGCTCAAACTAATATATATATCTTTCATCTACGTATTTTTATTAATCTGGAAATGTCTCAAATATGTGGAAAATTTAAACTAATCCCCAAGTGAAAGTGTAGTTATGGTTGGATAATCTCTCTGTGTATTCATAATAAAATCTAAAACATAGTCTTATATCGGTGAAATTACAAGTTAAAGTGCAGTGAGTTGTTTTTGAACTCGAATTGCTTAGCTTTCCATGATCTCTACCATTAGAATACCACATTGTGGTTTATTTTCACTTTTCTTTTACAAAGGATTTACTCTTTTCCTTAGACATATTTTTAAAAAGTTTTAAAACTTGGAAATAAATTAATTCATTTAAAAATGTGATACTAATATGTTGCAATGATTTTAAGAGAGTCAAGCAAACATGTCCCATACACAATGGCAAGAAAAATATCAAATAAGAGAGTTTACTTCTAAATTAAGAGAATGACAATGATTTTAACCTTATTAAAAAAGTAACATTTAGCACTTAACTGATCTGGTTATACTCCTAGATAATGTAAGTTACCGGTGAAAATGTGGAAAAGAAGACCACATCGTCCCTTTTTAGCTGGACCAAATTTAGAGCCACATATTCACGACTATCGTAAGAAAATAAAGTCACGTCACATTCATTTTCAAAATCTTGTTTGCAGTAAATGTATGGTCCAAAATATAATATGAATTGTATTACACTGCTATACTATATGCATTATAATCTTCTTACGTGTTCTATTCCATAAACATGGATGACTATTGTAGATCCTAAAATCCATATTAAGTATTTGATAGTGTTTGTGATGTAAACTGGGAAATGAAAAGGATGTAGGTAACAATATCCTCAAAACACAACGATGTAATCAGCTCTGAGTCGGCGAAAATGGATTATATTCGTAGGTCGAATATCATAAATTTATCAGGTTAAGGAAGATCGTGACTGAAATCGGGATCGAGCTGCCTACATACCCGTTATGGAATCAAGTCTAAACGTAGTTCGATTATAAACATCTCGAAAGAGATGTCGGTTTTATCGGTCTCGAGCAGGACATCGGCTTTGTCAGTTCTCGGGAGAGACGTCTCATGAGATGTTGTTTGAGAAGTGGTCGGGAAGTCTTAAAGGACTTGTGGAGGCTGAAGCCTAAACGTATCTAGGGCTCGATATTGGTAAACGAGGATTCATTCTTGTTCGTTGTAATGGAGAGAATTTGACGTCGTGAGCATTACAAGGGAGTCATCGGCATGGTGGTGAAGAATGATATGGTCTCTATTGGTTGATGCTCTATGAACCAATAAGAACTTATTAATCCTCTTTAATTAAATATGAAGATAATGAATAATTGTATTCATGGTCACGAGCTCGTAAGCTCCAAAAAAGTGGATTCTTGTGAAGATAACTTTTTTGTCCTTTTATAGGATTCTTCAGCTTTGACATCTTCTCACGTTGAATGAGGCCGATATTCTAGGAGGTCGACAACTAACATATTTGACCCAATCTATAATAATAATCAATGCCGAAAAATAGTGGAGGATATTTGGTACAAATCTGGGTCCAACATTTGCCCCCAGTTCTTCGAGAGTGAGTTGACGAAGTCTGTTGGTGTCAAAATCGGTCACGACGGAATCAATGGCTAAAAGTGTCCGCAAAAGTAAAAATAAAAATACGTTTTATAAAACTCGAAAGATCGTTTTATAAAATTCGAGAAATCGTTTTATAAAACTCGAAGAATCGTTTTATGAAACTCGAAGAATCGTTTTATAAAACTCGAGAATCATTTTATAAAACTCGAGGATCGTTTTATAAAACTCGAGAATCGTTTTATAAAACACGAAGAATCGTTTTATAAAACTCGAGAATCGTTTTATAAAACCCGAGAATCGTTTTATAAAACC